AGTGTTTTGGATTTTTTTTTTTTTGGGGTTTCGTTAAGGGTGTCCCTTTTTCCTTCAGATCTGATTCAATTACGAATTTTTCCCCTTTTGAATTTCCAAAACCACATTTTTTTCCTGAATCTTTCCAAATTTGGGCAGTTTTTTGTTATTTACTCCACATAGTTTTACTTTCTTTGGGACAGAGAAATTGACAGAAGAGAGTGAGCACACAGAGGCACTTGGTATAGTTATATACTGTTGCTTTTGTGTGCTCACTTCTCTTTCTGTCAACTTCCAGTGCCGGAAATTCATTCCAATCTGGCTCTGCTCGTTCCAAATCCAAACCCATCTGAACCCTCTCTCTCTCTCTCTCTCTCTCTCTCCACACTACGATGGAGCTGAAGAACATTGATCGCTGACTGCAGCAGGTTATCAAACAGTACTGAAAAGTGGTGTCCCTTTGGCGTTTGTATGCTTTCTATTTTTATTGAATTTGATCTATTAGATTCTCAGATTGATTGATAATATTACTATATTTTAGTCATTAACCATGATTCAATTTAATATTATTATCTGTTATCAAACGGAAAGCGTGACTTTTGACGGCCATAGCTAGCTAGCGTGGCAAAATGAGCGCCTCTTTAATAGTCCAGATTAAGATTTAATTTTTTTTAATATGTATAAACTATAACATGGCATGGGACCATTCACGTCATTTAGTATGGTCTTTACAAATTTTCTTCTTGTTTGCTTTCTCTCTTCATCTTCCTGATTTCATGAATTCATGTTCATCTCTTTATTTATTTTATAATTCTTGTGCATGCGAATCTTACTGGATAGGTGTTACCGCGGGTTTCTGTTGGCTGTTTGAGCTCACTTGCAACTCAGATTCTGCTAGATTATGGGTTCTCGGACATTTGGAATTTTAGATTTGTGTTTTAATTGGTTTCGATTGGTTTATTTGATAAACCCTATCAACTTAACTGTAGGGTACGTTGTTTGTGATGAGTCTGCAGAGACTACAAAGTTATTCGATAGATTGAGAATGTGAGCATCATTTTGATGTAAATATAAACATAGACTTTATCCGTCTTAAATATTTGTAGATGATTAGCTTGCCAAACATATGTATGTAATTGTTGGAAAAGAACCATTATATTATGTTGTTACTGTTTTCATTTCTCTATTCCACCCCTCCTCCCCTTTTCTATTATCAGAAATAATTTGAACTTCAGAATAAAATGCTTTGTTGTAGCTCATTGTGAAATCATATATTGAATGCGGACTAACGTGGTTTATATTGTGAATCTTGCAGGAGACATCTATTTGTTGTTGGAAGGTTAATTACCAATCTAACATAGGATTTGCTTGACCCTCTTTGGTAAATATAGGCTTTGCCGCTTAAAACAATCTATCAACTTATTCCTGCAGGGCCTAATTAATGTAAATTCAACTCATACAACTGCTACTACTACATAAAATCAAATGATATTAGCTAATTTATAGCAAAAACAAAATGATATTAAGTAATTATCACCACTACTGCAGCTTCTTCTGGCTGTAGTCCTTCCAACAGTTGTGAAGGTTAACAATCAATTCAACTATTTTTTTATTGATTTTTACTGGATAAAGGCTATTATTGATTTCAATGTTCTCAATTAGTGGTGTGAAGGTTTTTATTCCAAAAACTTAATGCTATTTAAAAAAAAAAATATTTTGGTCTGTATAAATTTATGTTGATTTTTAAACTATGCAGTTTTGTGTTGTTGTTGTTGTTATTATTATTATTAAAGCAAATATTTTGTAGTTTAATAACTCGAATGGGGATTTTAAGTTTTTTTTTTCTCTGGAGTTTTATATCTAAAATATGTATCAGCTGCCCTTTTCACATTTTTCCCCTACTTTGATGGATATATGCTCCTATAAGCAAAAAGAAAACTTAAAAGACGGTGGGAGTATTAGGTATAGATATGCTTGCAATTTTAGTTTATTTTGCAGGAGTTCTTAGGTTCAATTATACTTAAATTCTATGATCTAAAGAATATGCTTCATCATTATCCACGTGTTACTAGATTTATCATGAATATTAAAATGTATGATAAATATAATTATTCAGATAAATGATTACTTAGATTCATGCTTATCCTATATTATATAATTTGAAAACAATTTTTGGTTGTCAATTTGAATCGGGCAACTCCTATATAAATGTATAGTTAGTGGATTACCTTTTGTACTAACTATATATGGTCTTTCCATTTGGTTTGTAATTAAAAAAAAAAAACCATTGTGGATAAATGAATATATTGTAAAGATTTTTTTTTATACAATTAAATCCACGATCAGATGCCATATAGATTATTGACTTATATAGGAGTGCTTTCATACATATTTTCTCCTTTGTCTATGATTCATAGAAAAACATTTCACTCATAAAAAATTCTATTGTCTTTGAAGCTTACAGATTGCTATGCAGCATCTACACTATAATAGTTCCTACCTAGATCAGTGAACCAAAGTTTTACGGCCACTCTAGCAGACTCATGGCAACCTTTTAGATTCTATGATTTATGAAAATTGGTTCCACCGTTTTGATTTCTTGGCTTGTATTTTTTTTATAAAACACATTTCATGTTCAGGAACTTATGGATTGCAATTTTGACATGCACATTTTTAACGTGCTTTGAAGAAGTGTGTAAATTCAACAATGAAATTTATATTCCTTTAAGAACTGAGTTAAAAAGTTATAACTAATTAATAGTTTGATTTTCCAGATAGTTTCCCAAGATAACTAATTAACTGTGTTCTTTTTCTTTTCAATCCCAGCTGCATCATTTAATTGAGTATTTGGCTTGTGAGTTGATCTTGTTTTGGCTTATAGCTCAAAGTAAGTATTTGAATTATGCGTCCACTCCTTTATGTTTTCTTTTATACTTTATGATTATTGGAGATAATGTCCCTGCTTTCTCTTTCTATGCTAAATCTTTTCTAATCATAGCAAAATATGACATCGTTGTGTGTCACTTATTTCTATAAGAAATTCAAAATTAATAAGGTTATAGTCTTAAACTTGATTGTCAATTGTTCTTTTTATCAAATGTTTAAGCTAATGGTTTAGCCTCAGAAAAAACAGTCTAGTGCACAAAAGTTACTTACAGAACCTTTTTCATGGTAACAATTTGGAGCTTAGTATAATGGAAGCATAGTTTGGAGGCAAATGGTTATAATATTACTTAAGCTACCATCTCCATTTAACTCTATATTAGTGCATAAATGTTTCTCAATGAAACTTTTCCAAAACAATGCAGGAAATGTTTAGAAACTTACATAGAGTTCATATGTTTTCGTGGTAAAGTTTATGAAAATAAAATCATTTTAGCTCCTTTCAAAGATGCTTTATGATCAAAAGCTTACAACACAAAGCTCTTCTGTGATAATTTATTAAATAAGTAGTACTTAATTAAGTTGTTTACACAAACACACTTGGCATCATATTAGGATGTCTTTGTGTTTATTAGATGTTTTGCGGTATCCTTTTCAAGTGACATTTTGGATCTTTGTAATTAAGCATTCTTAAATGGATGGTTGTGATAATAGCTTATTATTTAAGTGACATAACAAAGTCTAAAAAGTTTTGGTTTTAAACCATTGAGTGTCAAGATTGATTTTACGTGGTGAACAAACATACGTAAAAGACTGTCAAGATCCTTTTTGGCTAATTGATCTTTTATTTCTCACATATAATATCACTTCTATTAACACTTAAGAATTTATAATCACTTCTATTAACATTTACACGCACACATTTAATTTTGGGTCTACTAGTAAATTTCAATTTAGTGCATGCAGATTTAGGATAAAGAGTTGGATTCAATCCTAATTACAAAATTATAATTGAGAATATTGTTCATAAGTTATATTGGGTTTATGCTCGTGTTACTAGTTCGATTAGTTCAAGAAGAGAGAGCAAAGACCGCCATTGGATTACTAAGGTAGCTGGTAAAATATCTTAAATGATTTCTTTCTTATTGTATTTTGTTTTCTGAAGTGTTTTCGGCCACATCGACTTTTGGATAACTTAAAGAGAGAATTCTATAGCTGTGTCTCGAACATCTCAATTTGAAGAGTGAACACGACACCGCCACGAAGCATATCTAAAGTGTGGTAATAATTGCTGCTCCCTTCAACTGCCAGGAACTGTCCCGGTCGTTGTAAATTGAGAAAGTATGGTATCATTATCCAGATCGAGACCTCCTTTGCACATGGTAGAATTTAGGATCTCTTATTAAATGGATTGACGACATATAAAGCCAATATAGCCTTACAATACTGTATCAATCCTCCCAGTTGAGATATAAACTATTTTGAAACATCTGGTTTGGATTTATGATCAATTTTAATCAATCATACAGTTTGAAGAAGACCACGATCAGACTGTGATGGCAAAATTCTCTTTCCAACTTATTAATTCAAGTTTTGATCTTCAAAGATTACTATAAACATTCAGTAAAGATTTATGATACATGATGTAATCAATGTGTTCAAGGCTACCCGACAGATGCATTAAATTATACCTTGAGGTTATAAAACTAAAGAAATTGCTTGAACAGAGGACTGTTTTGGTTGTAAGAGGTATAAATTTGCCTGTGTGAAAGATTTCGTAAGTGCTCAAGTTTAATTATTGCATGAGACAACTGAAAGCATGCACTGATTGCAACTGCTTTTTGGCACAATCAATCTTCATTCGCTCAAAATTAGCTCATAATACATGTAAACTCTTTTTTAATGTACAGGCACTTGACTGTTTCTATCAACTGATTTACGCATTTGATGGATATAATTTACCTTTCAAACTTTCTCCTCAGCTGATATATTTTAAGAACGACTCCAATGACGGTGTGCTGGTGGTTTGGTTTTTAGTTATGTTTATTAGGTTAATGCCTTTGTACCAGCGGTTCCATTCTCCTTTAATTATTCCGATTTCGTGGTGTTATCGGGATTGTATGCAATTTTAATATTGGAAATGCTACTGAAAAGCAAGGACTTCTCTGCATAAATATACACTTTTTTCTCGCAATCAAATGTTACGTGACAAACAGTAGCAATCAAATGTTACCCGGGGAATAAATAATAGGATTCTCAAGGCTCCCCGGTTAATGCTCAAGTGTGTAGGATAGGAAAACAAACGAGAAGAAACAAGGTGAGCGTGACGCAACGATGCGCATTGTATTTTTTAGGCGCGAATTCGGCTTCCACCACTTTGAGCTGATTTATGTAGTAGACATGCTCAAAATATATCAGCAAGTTTTTGCTAGAGCTCCAGCAGCAAAAAGAAGATTCCTTCGAGAAAACTGCTTCCAAGAACAGAATACAAGCATCAAATCATATGATTGAATCCCCAGAATATTATATCACAGCATGAGGCATGGATAAACAATGTAACGAAGCGTTACAGATCTTACCCGCAAAGAGTAAACTGGAGTAGATTTGGTTGGCAGAGTTTTCAGTGATCTGAGTCTGTTAGCATTCCCACTCCTAGTAAGGTAAGAAAGTTCTGAGTTAGTCTTGCCATGGGAACAAAATGCCTTTAGAGACAATTACATGTTTTCATAATATACAAACTTACTTTTCTTCAGTCCTTGAAACCTTGGTGCTCGTATTTATATCCCATAATTTTACAGTGCAATCAGCAGATCCAGATGCTAGAACAGAACCTTCAGAACTGAGACATCCAACAATCAAGTATTGTTACGAAGTTAATAGCAACCTCGAGTCCTTTAATTTCCCTCTTGATTATGATAAAAATTGTGGGGAATCACCTGAAAGCAAGTGACCAGACACATGACGTGTGACCAATCAAAGGTGTGAGACAGCGGCCACTAGAGAGGTCCCACATCATGATCGTGCCATCTTCGTCACCGGATGCCATATAGCGACCATCAGGAGACATTGCCAAAGCTAAAATCATACCCCTGTGACCAACGAAAACCCGGACGCACTCACCACTCTGCACATCCCAGAGTCGAACTGTTTTGTCAATGGAACCTGTTGCGATGTAGTTGCAGTTGGCATGCCATTGCACGCACTAAACAAGATCACAAAACACACAAGAATTGTTGTTTAGTACATAATGAATAACTGAGATATATTCTGTCATAAGTCATAACAGTTATATTTTTTACACATTTTGCCTATTATTCAGTTCCCAAGGAGGAATTTTCAAGTCTTGATTTGCAAATCAGATTTTGCTTTCACGCTTTAAACAAAACTAGCCAACAGAGTGAAGTGTGGTAAAGATTAATCATCAATCAAACAATATTCTAAGAATCAACTGAATATTTTCCAAGGCTTGACAATGTGACCATACTAAACCTGTGAATAATTTCAGAAAACCAGATAAATTACAAATTGTATGAATCGTGGACTATAAGAACTTAATAATCAATTATCACACATACATCCGATAACCAGAAAAAGCAAGAGAGGATATTGAACGTATCAACTTACATCAACATCAGACAAATGCCCAGCCATTATTCTTAAAGGCTGTATCCTGTCCATGGACCAAATCCTAGCAGTTCTGTCATGCGAGGAGCTGGCAAAATAATGCCCTACAGGACTAAACTGCATCCAGAAAAAGAAATAAATAACACAGCATTCCAGAACGTACATGCAAACAAAGAAGAACAGAAAATATTTAGTGCAAGCACGAAATCAAATTTTGCAAGCTGCAACAATTGATTAAGTACAAAGCAAAAAGTTGACTCTTCAACAAATTCCATAGGCGCACACATTTAAGTAAATCAGAAACAAATCCTCCCAAGAAAAATTATTAAAATGTCATTTACATTATTCTCATAAGGTAACCAACAAAATCAAAGGTGTCTACTTACCAGAGTAGCATGCAGCATGCTAAACATATTACTGGCAAAAACTAAGCATCTAAATGTGCAAAGTTTTTAATGGAAAATAAAACGTTTTATCAAATTAAAATGCAAAAAGGGTAATAAACATTTTCCTTTTAAATAAAACTCGCCACCTATAAATGCTTAAAATCAGCTGTAAGGATTGTTGTGAATGAAATTGTTAAATGTTGTATACCACTATAAAAATGCAAGGAAAAAGAAAAAAGCGGGTTTCTAAAAGGGGTTCCCTTACAGATATGTTGAGGGATAGGGTAGCCTTGCTACATCAATGTCATTTGTTAGGCTACCCTTTGTATTGCTCTTCTATGTGTTAATGTATGTAGCACAAAATAAAGTGGATCAAGTGAAAAAGAAATTTGGAGCATATATAGCTACTGTCGTCTAACAAGCATGTACTACATTCATTATCAGAACAGAAAGTTTCAGAACAAATTGTTTTACCTGAACATCCCAGACAGGATAATTGTGACCCTTGTAACAAACAAGATTGGCATTAAGTTTTGTGCTCCATAATCGAACTGCATGATCCATTTAAGATTCATAAGGTTCAGAATTAAAACTATAATATAAAAGAAACAAATATAGAAACTCCTACAGAAGTGAAGAAACAAATTGAAGAACACAAAAATGAGATCAAGTAAACATACTTGTTGAGTCTGCTGAGGATGAAAGAATAAAATCCCCAACAGGACTAAAAGATGCTGCATAAACAGGCCCTGAATGACCTTGAAACAATGTATACTGTCTTTTGCTGCCACTTTGCCCGAACATTTGTTCATTTTGTGATGTGTCATTCTCACCCTGTGAAAGAGCTGATGAAAGCAGAATTGATAACTAGACGTTTATAGCAAGCAAAAGTATTTGGTCATGTTCAAATGCTCAAGACTTGCATAAGACTGTCAAACAGCAGATAAATTTTGGATTCCACAAAGGATGTAGGTTATCTTCCACAAAGTCCATGTCTAATAATTCCATCTCTAATAGAAGAGGTATTGCTCAGAACCTCATCAGAATATTGGTCAGCTAAAAGTTTTGCATGTAAAGCTATATCGCTAAATATCTGGCTTACATTAATATATAAGTTGATTTGCTTAATGCATTGATTACATTATATTAGGTTACGGCTACATGTTACAAATTAAAAACTGTACTTTCTCTGAACCATTATACTCGCTTCTAACCAATTCATATTGTTAAGAAATGTACAGTCATAGCTTGGTCTAAACAAGAGAAATTTACAAATACAAACTTACAACTGGTGGGTTGTCCAAGCTTTGCCATATCCCAAACCTGTGGATACAATTAAAAAAATTACGGAACATTCAATCATCAGATAAGATAAAACTCCATAGAGAGAGGGATACATTTAGATGGAAGGAGATATATGCACAGAGGGGAAAAAGAAAACCTTCAGTGATGAGTCAGAAAATCCTCCAGCAACTAATGATCCATCATGGGATATTGATGAACAGCTTAAACTGAGATAATAAGTGAAAATATAAGTATCAAGCAACAGAAACCCAAATAACAATGATAAATACGTATTGGACATTACCTATTATGCGCATTGATAAATGTGTAAAAGCTAACTGATGGCAATGCAACATTGCTAAGCTGTACACGGTTCCTTAAATCCTCAAGGATGGACTGCTCTACCTCAGTTGGGCTGCAATAATACAACATAATAAAATTTAGTGAAATGAAGCTACAAGTTGACTAGTTTACAGTTGAAATTTTGACATCAAATAATAATACCTTTACATAACTAACATCATATAGTAACAAGATACACAGAGGTGAAGCACCAGAAAACTTGAGTTTTGAGCTCCAATAACAAATATTTTGATTATCTTAACTCAATTCATACACTAACAAACCATTATATCAATTGATACAAGACAAATGAAAAGATCTTCCCCCCCCCCCCTTTCAATTTTGTGGAATGCAGAATCTAAATAGAAATCTTAAGTTTTTGCCCTTCAACACTTCTTATCCATAATAAAAGAAACGAGAAACTAAGGACCAACATTAGCAAACTTGTTTCAAAATAATCACAAACAAAAGTTCAGTTACGATATGACACAGAAGTGTGAGCCTCAACATTGTGGTATCAAAACCTTGATGGAGCTCTCTATAAAACCAAATGAGTATTGATGCAGATGCAGAGAATTCACAAATCATCGTGTGAGATTTGAAACTCTCATTTAAAGTAAGGCTTTTCCCTTTTAAAGTCTGTCTTTCATACTTTGGTCAACAACAACAACAACCAAACTTTATCCCATTAAACGAGGTCAGTCATACATAAATAACACAACACAATTGAATTCAGTCAATAATCAAATTCTCAAAAATATTATTTATCATATTTCTTTTAATATCTTTTTTTAAAATGCTTTTGGGTCTCCTTGTATTCCATTTTAATGGAGTAAAGGTCATATCATCATCTCTCTTCACCAGTGCTTTCGGTGGCCTATTTTACATGTGACCAAAGTATCTTAAACAATTTTCTATTAGTGTTACTCAAATATTCGCACACATACAATCATTTTTTATCTTGTTCTTGTGTGGTCACTCGTTTATCTTAACTTTCTCATTTATATCACACACTCACTTTTTTCTTGTATTGTTTCTTTAAGCCCAACATTCACTAACATATAATATAGTTGGTCGTTTCTTTTTTATTGGCAATTACTTTTTGTAACAATCAAAATAATTATAGTGAAGCCTAATTAAGAAGCTTATTATATTTTAAAACTAGAAGTTTACTCAAAGCTATACAACAACCGAGGTTCCACCAAATTAATTTCAGATGTCAATGAAAAAGAATATTGCAGGCAATAGAGCCTATTTCTCAAAACTTTGGTAAACTATGTAAGCAAAAGAACAAAAACATGTAATCATAATTTGCATTTCAACCGCGAATGGAAAAAGACATTATTTCAATTAAGTAGCTATGAAAATATATGAATGACTGAATGGTGATTTTGTGATTTGACTATTGGGAAAAATATGCCTATCAAATGCTTTTCTTAATTTAATAACATTAAGTGTTTTAGTGCCAACTCACTTTCTCTGCAATTTCTAGTGAAAAGAAAAAAAGAGAGCACAATGCATTGATTGCATTCTGCATTAATCCACATCCTATCTGTTGTTTGAAAAAAACATGTTACATGAAGATATGGACTTGAGAGAATACATTATGGGCAAGGGGAGTTCTGGCTTAACTCGAGGTGCAGCAGGTACAGTGTTAGCTTCAGATTTGGCACCCTTTCCGGTTGCACCTCCACCTTTGTCCTTTTTTACTTTTTTGACTGAAGCACCTTGCTTTCCTCCTTCAATGGATCTTTTCTGAAAGAGAAACAGGTGAAAATTAAATTGAAAAGGCACTTGAGTAATGGACTAATGGAAGTGAAGACATGAAGAAAATTAAACATCTTCAATTGTAATTTATGCACACACACTGTTAGAATGGCCTAGATTCTAGAAACATAAGCTACTGTATTACCTGACATAAGCATGAATGGAATATAAGAGTCAGAGAAGCATTTTAGGACAGATATACCTTACTCTCATCATTCTCCCCCTCTTTTGTTTCCCCTTCACCCTTTTCAGAGTCTGAAAGCAAAGCCCCAGCCTTCTCCAGTCTTTCTTCTAGAGAGTCTTCAAGTAACTGCCAAAGAAGTTAAACCAGATATCCAATGAATCAGGCATTAATAATTTACATCTGAAAAACCATTCATTTTCTTTCACTTTATTTCTTGTTTTCAAATATTTATATAAGCAATGATGAAAACAACAATATGCTTTTTCACCATTTCTTATACAAGTCTTTGAAAATAGAAAACAAAGTAACATTTTTGTGACATAGAAAACAGGAAATGAAAACAAAGTTTCAGGTGTTTCTAATGCTATGAAGACACCTTTATTGCACCAAAAGTTTGAAAAAAAATAATAAAAATAGGGTAGTATTAACAGAAACAACATAACCTAAGTAATTTCTAACTTTACAAAATTTTATAAAAATAATAAAAGACTCACCCCCCAATGAATTTCTTTTTGATTTATCCGGTTAGCTGCTTCCTGGCTGCTTCCAGTAAGGGTAACAGCTTCCGGATCATCAGAAATCAAGCTAGGTTGTCCAGGAGTAACTATGTTACAACAGAAAACAATGAAGTACAGGTAATAACATGTTCAAATGAGCAGATACAACTTAGAATGAATAGAAGTACCTTGAAAGTTAATATGCTCATTGATAATACCAAGTATGGTGGTGGATTGTGTACTGTGTAGATGTTGCAACAGAAGTTCGTAGGAATACTTGCAAAACATCAACTGTAATCAGCTTTCCCCACATATTTAGCTCTATTTTAATGAAAAATGTAAATATCATAATAATGAAAATTAAGAGTCATGTACCAGTGTAAACAAAGTCAATCATTTTTTTAGAAGGGCCATATAAGTGCTCTTATTAATGGACTCCTGAGATCTATTGTGGGGTACTTGAATTTCATATTTGATAAAATAAAATATAAGCTAATCTTGACACCCGCATGTTACTTCTATTAAGCACTCATACAAGACAAATCCACCAATAAGGGTAACAACAGCAATGGCATACCACAAATGCCCATGGTAAGCACTGGGTAGCCAAGTGAGTCAAATTATGATAAATCCCAAATTTTCCCTCGCAATCAATAAGTTAGATTTTATTACAAAGCACCACGCCTGAACATGTGAATACATTTTAGTGAGATGACGAATACTTGTCACCACTCATCAATGTGGTGTTACCTAAATCACAATACTAAGAGTATGCAGTACAGATAAAGTTACAAGACATCGTGAATAATTTCCAATTGGGAGGATTAAGCTAAGATGGTGTGAAACTAAGTATCTAGGTATGATCATATTTTACTATTATTATATCCCCACTATCTACATAAAAGATAGTATAATTCTTCTTGCTACATAACCTTAGTCATATCTACTATTGGTGATGCACAATAACCTTTCTAGTCATAGTTTTCAATTTGTTTGTTTATTTATTTTGTTAGTAAGACTCCAAAGGCGTGTGAAATTTGGGTATGTTCACTTAAGTTAAACCCGGGAATTGTAGTCTATGATCATTTATCCAGGAAAAAAACTGGATTTGTTTGAATCATAGTCTTTCACAAATCTGGACTTGGAAGTATAGCCTCTCTTAGGAAAATGCTTCAGGACTGAAACATGTCGACGTGCTACTGATGTTGTTCTCATTTATTTGTTGCTGCTGTCCTAGTTTTAAGGAGTTAATCAGGATCTTTTAGGCATTTTGTTTTCCCCGGCTTATTCTTAGGAGCATGTTGTTAGTGGGCATTTATTTTTTAATCTTTAAAAATTGTAATGTTTATAATACTAAAAATACAGTTCTTTCTTTCTCCTTTAATATACATTTTGTTCGCTGTTTTAGCAGCTCTGTTTTTTTTTTTTCCTTTTCTTGTAAAAATTACTGACAGCATCTATTGGAAATTTGCGATCCCTGTCAGCAGGAAGTAAATGGAAGGGGCAAAGGCACCAGGTTATGCACGCATAATCCTCTATTTGGCTCTTTCGAATTCACAACTCTCAGTGATCAATGCGAATGCACCATGATTTGTTTTATGCATATAAAATATGGGTTCAAAAGGGGTGGAGAAATTTTGGTCATATTGATTTCAATGCATAATATTAACGCAGCAAAGGGTAGTATCATGAGCAGGCATGACCCAGCATATAAATTGGATACACTAGCAATAAAGAGGTAGACCTGACCTCACAACAACTTAAAGTTAAATGTAAACAAAATTGCTATAAAGTGGTTTACATTTAAGTTATGGCCATCACCCAACACATGCATTATGAACTGAAAGCCCAAGGCACAAAGCATCATAAATATTGGTCCAAATAAATTCACATATGATCATGGATGAATACAGGAAAAACCATAGAAGGGGCATAAAGTTCTGGAGGCTTCTGAAACCCGTTGACAGGACATTTAATTTTAATATGTGAAAAGTGCAATTAGAAAAAATATATATATCCAGCATAGCAAGGTCTATGAGCAAATTCAGGAGAATCAAGATATTACCTCGCATATCTTTATGTTGAATTTGCTCTGCCTAAGTGCATGAGCGAACTCCATTTCCTGTGCAATAAAATACAATCGAACGAATATTTTACACTTGCTAAAAATCCAACAACTTCAAGAAACTTAAGAGCAGTATAAGATGTTACACAGCAACTAACCTCCAGATGAGTAGGAGAAAGAACACCTTCCAGCTTTTGAAGGTCACGCAAGTGCATCATTTCATGGTCTTCACGAAAGGTAGTGAAAAAGTTCCGAGCTGAAACATCAACCACAATCACATAAACACAAGCACAAACCACACGCAGCACTAGTGGGCCGCAATTGAAAATCCGCTAATTACCTTCCTGAATATGTCCCTTTGCCACAAGATCCATAAAGCAATGTATAAACACTGGATAAAGTACACGAAGCAACTCGTGCTGCAAGGAAGTAGCAAGACACGTAATAACAGCATAAACTAAAACAGAACAGTTCGATAAATTAAAAAAATTCAAACGAGAAAGTAAACAAACGGCGCGTTACCTTATACAAATCCAGAGAAGAATAAGTCCACGATCGTAGTTTGCTATATCCATCATGAAACCTGGCAGGACCACTCTCCAATCTGAAAAACAAAGAACATAAGAACAGTTACCAAAGTATAACAACGCAAAAATCTAATTAGGTTGAAAATGTGAAGTGAAGGAGCATACTGAGAGAAGGCAAGGAGATGATTGGCAATGTCGGGTTCGAGAAGAGAAGTAGCAGAGGAATTGGACTTGTTGTGTTGAAATTCTTCCTGGAAAATCTTCTCCGTTTGCGTAAACCCTTTTTTCTTAAGGTACGCAGTAACGTATCCAACTATTTCGTCTTCCTCCATTCTTCGATCTCAGCCTCTCACACAAACCCCTTTCCAGTTTCCACTTCGCTCTCGCATATACACAACACCGTAAATTTTGATTATTCGTCAGGGTTATTTCCGGAATCTCGTCTACTAAATGGGCCTGGGATTCATAAGCCCATGATTCAGCTTCCCACTCAGATAACACATGAAGCCCAGTTTTAGACGACTGTGATAAACAAATAATAACTAGAGGAGAACGGGATTGTGTGGAATGCTGGAAGGAAAATATTTTATATATTTTTAGTTTTTTATTTAAAATTTTAAAAAAATTTATCATTGAAATTTCTAATTTTACATATTCCTATTTTTAAATTTTAACTAAATTAGAAAATAACTCATATAATACATGAAAGACTTAATACTTAATTTAAAAATTACAAAACTAAAGCAAGCAAGCAAGAATTAAACTGCAACATTACTGCCCCGAATGGTATTGTGACAAATCTCCAAAACAAAATAATTAAATGAAAATGAAATCATTGACAGTTAGCTAAAAGAATGATATGTATAATATTAGAACAATCAATTTAAAGCACGTTTGATTTCTATTTTTAAAATAGAAATCAATTATACTCTTTAGTTTACCGACCTGGCTACTAGCCAACTAATAATTCACACATTTGATAGTGAGTGAGTGAATTGTTTTGTTATTTTTTTAACAAAATTATTTTAATATAGATTAAAGATAATAAAAAAATATTAACAGTGTTTTCTTAAGCACATTAAAACTTAAAACGTTAAATATCTACTTTATGGGTTTAAAACAAAATATATCATCAAATTCAGATCATCCAACAAAATGAAAATAAACAATTCTAACCCTCCCAAAAATTAACAAGTCTTTAATTATTTAAACATCCTAAAAAAAATTGTATCTTCAATTGCAATAGCACCACTCTCATCATTGTCATTTGCATAATTACCATGATCTAAAATTAAGATTTGATTATATTAATTATAATATCAACAAATTAATAACTTTGGTTTTATAATTAGTAATAAGAAACCGTGTTCACATAAAAAAAAACCAAAACACAATGTAGAATCCTCGTAACTTATCTCACTTCAAGTAAGAATGGGTTTGAACCTAAATTGATACCACTAAAAAAGCCTAAATTTATTTGGGTCTTCTATTGTAATACTCAAATCTTCATCTTCTGTGAATTTGTTCAATTTTACTCATCACGTAAACTCATTCTACTCCATATATTATTTATGAGATTCGCTTAAATTATATTTAAAAATTGCATTAATTTAATGGCATTGGTTTTAAAAGAAGTAAAAAACATTAATTATATCAAAATTACAAAATAATGCAATCAACAATATTTATGCCAATCCCATTTTACGTTTTGTTAGACTCGTCTTTATTTTATTTTTTCAGTATAACTGTATTATTAATATAACAATTAATATAATATTTTCATTAAACATTGACTTATTAGCTTATTTTTGCATTTATATACTCTGCATTAATATTTTAACATGTTTTTATAAATCAATAAAGCTAATCTTAATAAGTTAGTTAATTAAAAAATAAGTTTTATTAGCCCAAAGAATAACCCTACTAATCACAAACCTACCTTTTTAGATAAATTGTATATTGAGTTAGACTAAAATTGGATGTAAAATTTTAAAACCAACACCTCTAATATACGAGTTGGTCCAATAGATTCATATTGTGTTTTGACTAGCATTAAACTTATTTAAACATTAATAATTGTAATACTGAAAGTGGTTATTAAAAGCTTTTAAATATAAACTCAATTTATCTTGACACAAATATTTAAAATATAAATCATGCATAAATTATTGGTAATTTTTCAATAGTTTTAATTAAAATATATCGTTATACAATTTTATATTCATCGTTATATATATAAAAAATATATTTTAATATTAATATAAGTTCAAAAACTTTTATACTTAATTTAAATTTTTTATTTAACTTGCATTTAACGATTGAAGAAATAATAAATTATAATATGTTAAATATAAATTAAATAAAATACTCAAATTAAGTGTAAATAATTTTAGACTTATATTAGTGTGAAAAAATCATGCTCTATATATATCATTATATTGTATCACTGTTAAGATACTTTTGAATACTAAAAATATTGAAAGCAAATAATCTAGGGCAGGTCTGATGTACCAACGTGAGACATGCATGCATGGGGAATAATTCTAGTTGTTTGTTGTATTTTTTAAAACAATTTTTAAGGAATTGAGTTTCTTTGAAATGGAAGAACTTGTAAGAAAATAATTTTATTTATTTATTATTTTTGAATTAAAGATTTTACTAATGTAATTAATTTAAACTGATAATAAATAAATTTTAATTATCTATAATATAAAATTTTAGTTATTTCAATAATTGAAATTACATAAAATGATATTTTTGGATCAATGAACCACACCATCTCAGACAATAATGTGCATTTTAATTTTTTTAGTAACATAAAAAAACTAAACAAACAAAAGAAAAATGAACCAATTACAAGGGTGATCTAAGATCAATCCCCAAATGTACCAAAACAAAATTTGGAGGACTCATTCATACTATATTTGCACTCAAATGCTTAACTTTTGAATAGTCAAATTATGCACAACTGAATTAGATTCACTAAAAATGCATATAAAGTCTACATCCCAAATTTAAGTTTTTATTTCTTTGATTTTTTGAATAATATTCTTATGTTTATAAGTGTTATTCCTATCCACCCAAAAATCTTGAATTGCTTTCATTGTTCCAAACAGTGTAATTCACAAATAACATTTTAATTTGACCTTCACTTATTATCTTAATCAAATTAACTTAATTTGAGATTAAGCATTGCTTTAAAAAAATAAATAAAAAGTATAGTCAATTACAAACTATTAAACAAACACTACGCATATCTCAATACATTTTATGACTATATTTAACTATTTTAACAGTAATTGCTATTTTTTAACTATATTTAACTATATCTCAGTAGTAATTGTATATTTATTAGAAAATAATAGTTTTTTGGATGGAAAAAATAATGATTAAAGAAGCAGAAGTAAGAAATTTTTATTACAAGGAGAATATTTACCATCTTAAATATACAAAAAAAAAATTCAATATATACTTTTAAGTAATTAAAAATAATGATAAATCAAGGCGTGTGGCCCTATTCTCATAAAATTATTTGAGTATTTAATAAACATATTATTTGTTCATAACTGAGAGATTCATGCACAGCACAGGTGCATTCAGATTTTTATACAGATCCATTTTTAAAGAAAGGGAAAGTTTTATTTCTTTTTCTTTTCAGGGAAAGTCCAAAATGGTTTTATTTTATATGCAAAGTGATTGGAATGTTTTTTTAGAATGAAAATGGTGGAAGACAAGTGTCCAAGGTTCCCGCATGCATTATGGGCATGAATTATTGCGAAGTTGATGGCAATTCCGTGTTCTCATCTCACACTGCTCAAACATCACTGCACTACAACGATTCGATGGTGACTTTGGAATCCACTCCAAGTGGACTAAAAACACAAATAGGATACAATAATTTCTCCACTCGGGCCTTGGACAAAAGAATATTAATGAATTATCATTTTATATTTTATATGCTTATTTTACTAATGAAATATATGATAAGTTTAATTTATAACCTTTTTTTTTTTTTCTTGTTTAATGTAATCCTTGTTTTATGAAACTATTGAGTTATACATAAATAAAATCTGAAAAGATATTTGATATGCATTAAATATAAAATAAAATATTTTTCTTTTTCTTTTCTTTTTATTTATCACTCATGTCTTTTTTTTTATATACAAGTCTCTAGTATACATTTGATTGATATTATTTTGAAATAAAATAGTGTGGTTTATTAATTATATAATCATTTTGTCATTTTAAAAATAAAAAAAGTTTTTTTATCTAAATTAAAAAATTATCAGATAGGTAATTAAATATATTCTCTTGTTAAAAAGTTGATGGTAATAAAATTGTGTGCTTTATTAATTTTTTTTAATTATACATATTACTTTTTATTATTTAGTTATGTAAACATTTAAAAGAATCTTAATTCTTTTTTACTAATGTCCTTTTATAAAATTATTTGAGCAGGGCAATAATTAAAAGAAAACAGAGAACAAAAAAAAAGTGATATATTGCGATGAAACCTTTGTCAAATAATAAATCTTTTATAAAATGTTAACAAAATAAAAAAAAAATATTTAAAGGATCCCCTAACATATTTAATATAATATGAATGATATAATTATTTAATAGATGAAAGAACACATGATAGCATCTTGAACTTTTAAGGTAACATAAAAATTACTTATTTAAAAATGACAGAAAGATATAAAACTATGAACTGCCAAGTGTCATCCAAAACACTTGTCATTACACGGGGAGTAACAGAAGAGACAGTTATGGGTGGTTAAGGGGTCCAGAGGGTGACCTGCATACCGCAGGGAGGCTTACAGCGAACTAAACAAAAAGGGCCGCGCCAGTTAAATTGTCGTGGTGCGGGTTGCATCCACCAAGGGCCATTTTCGTCTCACTCATCCTCAATTAATTGTCCTATCGATAACAATTAATACCATTTTTTAATCTTGTATAATATTTTTTATATAATAATTTATGTATAATCATTTTTAAAAAACATATAATTGAATCTTATCCACAGAATATATGTGATTTGGAAAAAAATATTATTTATTACATCCTTTTGTATAAGTTATTAAAAGACCGTAATCAATAAATAATTTTAATTTAATTAATAATATTTTAAAAATATTAACATAAATATATATTTAAATCTAAAAATAAAAAATTTATTATAATAAATTATTTTCTGATAAATATTTATTGTTTTAAATATTAAAATTTAAAGTTAAAAAATTAATATTTTTTAAATAATTTAATTAAGTGTTTAATCTCTACAAATGTAGTATAATTTAAATTTAGTAGCTATAAAATTTTTTGTTTAGATATATTTTTTTTGGTTTTTTTAGGAATTGTTTATTTTTAGTTATTTAA